AGAACCAGTTAAACCTCCATATGTGCTAATGAAAACTCCACAATTCACTAGTGGGCAAAAAAAAAAAAAAAAAGAAAAAGAAAAAGCAAAATACAGAGTACATGAACCCAACTACGGTACTAAGAATTATCTGAGAATCTGAGGGACAAATCCAAGAAACACTTAACCCACCACCAATGCGTATGGCAGAAACCACCCAACAACAACAGACAAAAAATCTCCCATGAGTTGTCGCTGGCTCATCTTTTTTCACAAGCATTCCGGCAAACACCATGTTTACGCAAAAAGCCAAGCTTAGAATTACATGTCTGATGCTATAAAAGGCCAGCACAATGATCCGAATGAGCTATTTCTACCTAAGAAGCCTCAAATGAAGAAATCAATACACAATCATTCCTCCTAAAGTGGCTTTAGACGACCTTCACCTATTATCTCCAGTGTTTATAGGTCATGTTTGATTCACAAGACTAATAGTGAAGTATCAATAATCCTATTAAATTAGTGTGGTATTCATTATCCAATTGGATTAATATCCATTGGATTAATAATCCCACCCCTACCCCATTACTAATAATCCTACAAATTTGTTGGATTAATTATCTATTGGATTAATAATTCTAAACTAAAATGTTAAAACAAACATAGGATAATTGGGCCTACGGATTAATAATCTCAATCCCATACTCTAATCCACCCAATCAAACATGCCAATAATGCATTATTTACAATTTCCCATCAATCTTAGGCTCTATTTGGTTCATTGGAATGAAAAGGAATGGAATGGAAATGTGATTTCTTAAATTTTCCTAAGGAATGATCATTCCCTTATTCATTGGCCGTTAGGGGGCTATGTTTTCATTGAATATGGTTTTTCAATGCTATACCTTGCTTGGTTCCTCTTTTCCAAAATCACTTTTTAGAAAATTCTACTATCTTATTTTCCGTATTTTTTTATTTTTACTGAATTTTTTTAATATTTTAAGCAATTTTTTTTTTTACTTTTTAGACATACCTAGCATAAATATACTTAAAAAGTAAAAAATTTGTGAAAAAACCTTTTAAAAATTCACTAAATACCAAAAATATATTTTTTAAAAAATACGAGAATTCAATATATTTTTTTGTATTTTTATGTACTTATTAATTTTTTAAAATATTTTTTCACAATTTTTTTACTTTTTAGATATATCTAAGTAAGGTGTATCTAAACAAGTAAAAAAAAATGTTTAAAATTTTAAAAATATTCACAAAAAACAAAAAAAACACGAAAATCAAAAAATTCAGTTTTCAAAAAACTTAATCTTAAAAACTCAAAGCAAACACACTGATCTATTTTGTTATTTGACTTAGTTCTGGTACATTTATTGTTTGGTTGTTTATTGGAATTAAGTTAACTAGCTATGAAGTTCCTAGTATTTGGAGCTGATGTATTGGGCCCAGTGGCAATATGGGAACTATTGTGGAGCGGAAGTCGGTGTTTGAATCCCATAAACTTAAAAAAATGTTACTGTTAGTACTTGAGAGCTCGAGGTCTAGTTTGCATATTCTTTGCTGATTTCCTTCTCTTTGCATGCTGACTTTTTCTTTTATCTGTTTTTGTTTTGCTAATCTTATTTTATCTTCCATTGCTGTTCTTCTATTAATAAAGGTCGAGGTGGGAAAAGGCCTGACATGGTTTGGAGAATGAATAATTTTAGAGAGATTAAAACACATAGCAACGAACAGACCATTTAAGATATCAGTTGTATTCACAGTCTATCTTATTTTTGTTGTGTACTCAAGTTGCATTGAAGACTCTAATCCTTGTACATTGTGCAATGAGGGAGGTAGATCCTACATTTCAAATGTGTCACATTTCAGGGATGATTCAAGCACAAATGGTATCATTAACCTATATATTTTTGTAAAGAATGCTTGGTTGACACTGTGTTGTTACATGATGCATATATATTATTATTCGTGTATGTTAGAAATTGGGCGCCCATGTGGCATGACCTTTAGAACCTTTTGAACCTCATCCAAATGGGTTTTGAATTCAAATTCAAACCTATTTGGATGAGCCACTCAGGATATATATCTATCATATCATGATATGGATAGATGATATAGATATCAGATATTATCTCATTTAACCAATGGATAAATGAGATAAATATAATATATATCTGATATATGGTTATGGGTAACCAAGAGAGAAACAACGTATGTTTTGTTTCTACCCATGATACTGACTCTCTCCCAAAATAACGATCAAAGCCATTTGCACTGTGGTTTGTGTGGGTGATATTCACCATTGCAATATCACCCCACTGCTGGGATTGATTGATTAGATTCTGGAAGCACGTGATTTATTCACGAGGTTTTAGATCAAAAGAGGTATGATCTAAACATTTTATTCCGCTGCATGTTTTGTGTTTTGATTTACAGTGTATATGATTTTGTGGATGTGAATGTGGAGATGTGTGGATGTGGATGTATTTTATTCTAGAAAAATATTAATAATTTGTATAGGGAATGAATTAATAAAATATATATTTATTTTATGAAAATAATTTTTTTGCAACAACAATAAATCGTTGCTAATGTTTTATTAGTTTTATTATTATTATTATTATTATTATTATTTTTGATCGGCAAAAGAAACTTTATTGATTACTTCAATGTAAAACAATGATTCAATCAATAAAGGAAAAGGTTGCAAAGAGCATCATAGCTCACAAACTAATCTCAACTAGGTTGGTACCAGAGAGAGAGCCAAAATCATATGCTAGCATACCACCAAGTCGGTAAGAAACCAACAAGAAAAGAAAGACAAAGAAAAGAAAAAAAGAAAGAACAAACCGCTAGTAGCAGAACCAACTCAAGCTTTAATAACCACCTCTGATTTGCCTCCATTTGAACACAATATCATCAACTAAGTAGGGAAAATTCTTGATTGATGCTTTGAGCCATAGAGCTGTTCTAATTTTGATGAGCTGTTCTAAAGAAATGATAAATTGTTGCTAATGTAATCATCATTTCTTTGCATTTTATTAGCGACGGATTAACCTGTCACATTTTCACATTAGTTCAAATCTTTAGTGACGGTTTAACTTGTTGCGAATACGGTATTAATTTAATTCTAATATTTTGGCGACATTCTAGACCGTCGCTAATAATACTTTTCACGATGTCATATACCGTCTCTAAAAAAGTTTTGGGCGATGGCAACCAAAATCGTCGCTAAAAGTGAAGTTTTTCTCCCTTTTTTTGTCAGGTTAAACCGTTGCAAAAACCATTGATTTGCTATCCCTACAAGAAAAAATGACAGTTTGTAACCATCCCAAATACCTTTTGTCACGCCCCCTTCCGCCACTCCCTATTTTCCATCACTACTCCATCGCAAAAAGTCGTTTGTGACGACGGCATGTGGACCTTTTGCGACGTTTAAGACCGCCGCAAAAGTTCCAATTTTTAGTAGTGATATCACTTATTGAAACGGATTATCCTTATATTCATAAAAATACACATTTTCAATTATAAATTTTTTTCAAAAGTAAATTGCGTAATGAGATGGAAGATTATTTTGTAACAAGTTACTTAATCATATTTATTGAGAAATATATTAATTAAGATTTTGATATCGAGTTTTTAAGCCATCATTGACAGGTGGCAAGTCCACTGATATATGTAATATACATAAGGCTACAAGTGTGAAAATAGAGGAGGAAAATATCTAGTCTGTTAGTAAGTTTGCGAGAGAGTAAAGAGAGGTTAGTCTTATCTAGTTAGTTGTAACTACCTACACTTGTATATGTATGAGGTCTGCTCATCTTTACACTCAATGAGAATCATTTCATATCCTTACATAGAGTTTATCATAAATGTTTTTATATATATTATAAAAAGTAATGGTTATAATATTTTCAAATAGTTAATTTTACTAGACGAAAACATAGTAATAGTTAATATTTTATTAAATTAATGCAGACAAGAAATATGTTCAATTATATTTTTATTCTGAATTATGTTGACAAAAAATGTATGATTAGTAGTAATATAATTTTTTTTTTGTACTGGTATAAATCAAAATTTAAAATTTTATAATTTTTTTTTGACAAAAAATTATATGTGTTTTTGCCCCTCCAAAGCTCACATCGTAAATCCGTCCTTGTATATATATATATATATATTTTATATCATTAAACACAAAGGTAACATGAGAGCCACTGATTTCCATGTCATGTCTTGTTATAAAGAACGTGTTATGCATTGATCTCTCCATTGCATATTCTAATTTTATATTAATTAATGATTTTGTATACATTTCTCTTACACAGATTGTGAAATCTTTACTTTTTCAAAAAGATCAAAATGGACAAAAAGACTGAAGTACATGAGGTTGATAGTTCAAAATGAGACTATGACAACAATTGATAACTAAAATTATATATATATATATACATAAAGGTCCTGTGATGACAACCCTAAGAGCTATCAATAAAAGCATTAAATTCTAAAATATTTTAAATCTCGATATACTCTTCACATATTCCAAAATATTTTTATACATTTCAATATACTATTTGCACAATTTTTTCAACAATAACAACGACCCTAAGGGCTATTTTTAGCATTTTGCTATATATATATACCAAAAACCTTAGCCTACATCATCTTTACAAAATTATTTTCACAAATTAATGCAAAGAAAGTTTGTGCAATATCAAAAAGATAATTGAAAACATATCTAATGTCTCTGATTTATGATTCCCTCCAAAATATTTGTAAAATAGATTCATTTGTTTGCCTAAATAAATAAATAAAGGTATAGTCAAATTTTGTGCAAATGAATCCAAACTAGTTGTGCATATAATTGGAGCAAAATTTAGTATTATTAGCAATTAACCAGAATGTGTCATTGAATCATTTCATCTTTAACATCTATTAGAGATTGGTCTATCAAGTTTTACAATGATAAGTATGTTTAATGAGAAATGTCCCTTGTACAAGAACAAATGTCATCGAGACACTACTTCTGAAATTGTGACATCATTAACAGAACAAGGTTTTCGAATTTCATGTGTATAGGCACCATTCAAACTCACAATTGCAAAGAAAGCAGGTTGCTTAGGAGCAGGTATAGCGACCATTTCATTGCTGGGCATAGACAAAACTGTTGAAATAGTTGGTCTATCTACTGCACTTTCTTGAACACACAAGAAACCAATTTGAATGCATTGCAGAATATCACTCGTTGAACATGTTTCTACTAATGAATGATCCATTATCTCCAAACCCCTTCCATCTTTCCACAAATCCCATGCCTAAAATGAGTCATTAAAAAAGTCATAGAAGGTTAGTCATTGAAAATATATAGAGAATATATACACACACAATTAGAGACCAAATTGTAGTTACATATCCCAACAAATTTGAAGCATGATCGGGTATATAAAAATCAGTGTTTTTCTTCCCACATATGATCTCTAGCATCATGACACCAAAGCTAAAAACGTCAAACTTCATAGAAAAGCGACCGTACAAGGCATATTCAGGGGACATGTAACCACTGTTTCCATCATTTCACCAAATTATATTGTTGAAGAGAAGTAATGTGTTTGGCATGCATATACACAATTTTTTATAGTTGTATGTTCAAAAGAGTTATCTAACTTACTATGTTCCAACAATTCTTTTTCTGTTTGCCCGGGATTCATTGTCTCTAAATATTCTTGCAGTACCAAAGTCAGATATTTTTTGATTCATGTCATTATCCAATAAAATGTTGCTAGCTGTCAAATCTCTGTGAATGATTCTTTCTCTAGAGTACTTGTGGAGGTATTGAAGTCCTTGAGCAATTCCTTCAATGATGTGGACACGTATTTTCCAATCAAGTAAAGCTCGTTTGATTTCATCTGTCCCAAATTTTGCATTAAACACATTATTGATACACCTGATGACACTAAGAACAAAGAAACAGAATCACAAGAACAAAATATAGATTGGTTGAAGTTAGTGAAGTAGCACACCAAAAAGAAATGAATATAGGCTTTTGTTTGGCAAGCACTCATATATTAATATCCTCTCTTCTCCTTGAGCACAACAACCCAAAATTCTAACAAGATTGCGATGTTGAAGCCTTGAAATCAATATAACCTCATTCTTGAACTCCTTTGACCCTTGTTCAGAACTTCTAGAAAGTCTTTTCACAGCAATCTTCTGCCTATTAAGTAACCGACCCTGAAATTTATATATTATGTATTAAATGTGTAATCATAAATAACACATCAAAGTAAATATTGGATGCATTCTTCAGCAAAATAGTTTTTAACAATAGTCTACTAAAAACTTCAATTATTTTTTAGGGTTAATTATACTAATAGTCCCTAATGTATACATTTCATTACAGTTTAGTCCCAAAACTTGTAATTGTTCCACTTTGATCCGGGAAGTTTTCAGTTAGTTACACTCTAGTCCTTGATGGAAGTGGCGTTCAAAATCAGTTTACATGATGATGGATATTTGAAATTTTACATGAAGCCTAAATAAAATCAAAATGACCAAAATAGATATGAATAGATATGTGATCTAAAAGTATGCAGTTTGTAACATTTTGATTCCTCAAATACACATTTGGTTTCATTGTAGTCCCTAAAGTATATATTTTCTTGCATTTTTCGTCTGTAATATTTAATTTTGTTGCATTTTTTGTTTTTTTGTAAAATTATGAAATATCCCTCTACAAATTTTTTTATTTTATTTTGAATGGTGTTGATGTTAAAGACTAAAGTAAAACAAATTGTAAACTTTAGAACCAAAGAGGAATAATAAAAAAATGGGGACTAGACACATCACATACTTTGGAAACTAGTTATGTAATTCACCCTATTTTTCAATGTGGTGATTGTAAAAATTAAGTGTGCCAATTTTTAATTGTGCACAAATTATTGTAAGATATAATTTGAAACGTATAGATGAGGCTAAAAATGAAAATCAAAAGCTACCTTATGAACATGTCCAAAACCACCTTCCCCAATCTTATTTGCAACTGAGAAGTAACTTGTAGCAATTTGTATACTAGAAAGAGTGAACAAAGGTAACACAAACATAATCCTCTTTTCCATTGTTGATTTTGTAATAATTGCTGATTCTGTTTTCAATTGACACATTACAGATTGTGTACTTTGGGTCCTCTCATTTGCACTTAATGCATTATTTCCTGGTTATTACAAAAGCAAAACTATATTTAGAGATTAGCATAGTAGTTATGTAGCTAATCTTAAATGCCAAAAATTAAACTTTGAATGCCAAAAAATACTTAATACTAATTTCGTCAATAAATGAAAAAAAAAACACCCATCATTTTTATATGATGTTATCTTTTTTGGAACAAAAATAACTTTTGAAAATTTTAAAAGTGTCTTACCTATTTTTACTCTCATCAGATTGGTTAATATATATATATACTAGCGTATGCCCGTGCCTAAAGGCACGGTGTAAATAATATTAAGATTAAAATGCAATAAATAATATTAAGATTAAAGTGCATCAAAACGTCTATTTCTCTAACCCCGGAAAAAAACAATGGTCACCACCACAGACATCAATTTCATATGGTACAGTCAAAATTTCACAGGTCATGTATCTCACCAACTTAAGGTATGACTCTACAAACCCATATCAAGTAACCTGCCCTCATTTCATTTCCAACAGTTGGAGCCTTGGGATGATTGTTTGGTAATCGATATTCATGCATAATCCAGTTGGTTTTTTCGCCTTTGGGAGTTATTCGTTTGTAGAATACTAATGCGGTTCTAAAACCAACATCGGCACCCATAAATCTCAGAGTCTTATTAGTACCGGTAACCTTCCAGTATCCATTATCTGCAGCTCGATTTGGCTGCTTCCCATTCTTATACTTGCGATCTCTTGGTGTAAAGAAATACCATTCCTTCTCTTCATATGGCTTGTAATTTTTTGTTAATTAAGACCAGACATAATATAAATAAAACTCATTGAACATGTTAGACTATTCGCTGGCCCTCATTCCTTAAAACTTCATCGAATGTTAGAATATACAATTCATAAACCAAAGAATGAATATGCATACATCAAAGGAAGAAATAAAAAGAAATCAAAATGAGTAACATTACATATGATTCCAAAATTTCAATATGAGTAACAAAACTAATGCAATATTGGGACAATCAAATCTGGAAGAACCCATTAGGTTTATCATAGCAGCCAACATCAATTTAAACCATAGAGACAAACCCGATAGAGAGAACGCAAAACAGCCCAAGAAATCGCGAGAAAGTGACAGAAAATAGTAGAAAAATAGGGATTTGATAAACGAACTCAGAACTCAGAAATCAGAAATTAACAGTAGATAGCCCAAGAAATTGCGAGAAAGTGACAGAAAATAGTAGAAAAATAGGAGGTTGTTAAAGTGGCGGAGACGGTTCATGGAAACCTTGATCCTTACATTTTCACAAATAAAAACCATGCCTGTGATCAAATGTCCTCAGACAATATAACAGGAAAACAAACTGATTGTCTACTTAAAAACTACAAATCTATCCAAACAGCATTTTTGTTACCTAAAAAGAATTACCATACCTATGCAATGTATAAAATTGAAATAAAAATTGCATAAATAAATTCTGGCCGAAATCAACCAGAAATTAAGAACAGTCCACTTTTGATTTTAGTTCATGATATTTGATTTTTTTCCTCCTAAGAAAACATTTAAGGAAATACATTTACAGAAACTTTTGGAATCGCTTCGGATCACAAAATTTATAATTTTGGAACGAAAGTGTACCATGTTTCGGAACATGCATACTAATAAGTAATTCGCTAGAATATTAGTATTTTCTAGTAACATGGATGTGAACACATTTGCCATAAAAATTCAGAAAATTAAAGGTCCCTTGCCACAGTGCACAACTAACTCACTAATAACTTTGATTCATGTCATTATCCAATAAAATGTTGCTAGCTGTCAAATCTCTGTGAATGATTCTTTCTCTAGAGTACTTGTGGAGGTATTGAAGTCCTTGAGCAATTCCTTCAATGATGTGGACACGTATTTTCCAATCAAGTAAAGCTCGTTTGATTTCATCTGTCCCAAATTTTGCATTAAACACATTATTGATACACCTGATGACACTAAGAACAAAGAAACAGAATCACAAGAACAAAATATAGATTGGTTGAAGTTAGTGAAGTAGCACACCAAAAAGAAATGAATATAGGCTTTTGTTTGGCAAGCACTCATATATTAATATCCTCTCTTCTCCTTGAGCACAACAACCCAAAATTCTAACAAGATTGCGATGTTGAAGCCTTGAAATCAATATAACCTCATTCTTGAACTCCTTTGACCCTTGTTCAGAACTTCTAGAAAGTCTTTTCACAGCAATCTTCTGCCTATTAAGTAACCGACCCTGAAATTTATATATTATGTATTAAATGTGTAATCATAAATAACACATCAAAGTAAATATTGGATGCATTCTTCAGCAAAATAGTTTTTAACAATAGTCTACTAAAAACTTCAATTATTTTTTAGGGTTAATTATACTAATAGTCCCTAATGTATACATTTCATTACAGTTTAGTCCCAAAACTTGTAATTGTTCCACTTTGATCCGGGAAGTTTTCAGTTAGTTACACTCTAGTCCTTGATGGAAGTGGCGTTCAAAATCAGTTTACATGATGATGGATATTTGAAATTTTACATGAAGCCTAAATAAAATCAAAATGACCAAAATAGATATGAATAGATATGTGATCTAAAAGTATGCAGTTTGTAACATTTTGATTCCTCAAATACACATTTGGTTTCATTGTAGTCCCTAAAGTATATATTTTCTTGCATTTTTCGTCTGTAATATTTAATTTTGTTGCATTTTTTGTTTTTTTGTAAAATTATGAAATATCCCTCTACAAATTTTTTTATTTTATTTTGAATGGTGTTGATGTTAAAGACTAAAGTAAAACAAATTGTAAACTTTAGAACCAAAGAGGAATAATAAAAAAATGGGGACTAGACACATCACATACTTTGGAAACTAGTTATGTAATTCACCCTATTTTTCAATGTGGTGATTGTAAAAATTAAGTGTGCCAATTTTTAATTGTGCACAAATTATTGTAAGATATAATTTGAAACGTATAGATGAGGCTAAAAATGAAAATCAAAAGCTACCTTATAAACATGTCCAAAACCACCTTCCCCAATCTTATTTGCAACCGAGAAGTAACTTGTAGCAATTTGTATACTAGAAAGAGTGAACAAAGGTAACACATAATCCTCTTTTCCATTGTTGATTTTGTCAATAATTGCTGATTCTGTTTTCAATTGACACATTACAGATTGTGTACTTTGGGTCCTCTCATTTGCACTTAATGCATTATTTCCTGGTTATTACAAAAGCAAAACTATATTTAGAGATTAGCATAGTAGTTATGTAGCTAATCTTAAATGCCAAAAATTAAACACTTTGAATGCCAAAAAATACATAATACTAATTTCATCAATAAATGAAAAAAAAAAAAAACACCCATCATTTTTATATGATGTTATCTTTTTTGGAACAGAGAAGGAGAGAGGTAGCGTCTCTGATAAAGAAGAGAAACAAAGAGGGAGATAGAGATAAGGAGGGAATGGGAGGAGAAGTGCAATAGAGAAGAGATAAAGATGGAACGGGGGAGGAGACGTGGGTAGGTGGGAGAGAGCTCCGAGTCTTTGGGCGGGAATTGAAGCAAAATCTCAACCATTGATGTGTATCACAATTGATCTGAGCCCTTGAAATGAAGTGTATCTCTGATACATTTTATATATTTTTAAAATCCGTCCTGTTTTATTATATAGATATATAAACTAAAAATAAAGGAAATTTACAATAAAAATAAAATAGGCTTGACACTTATAACAAAATGAATCTTGAGATTTTAATTTTTACAATTTAAACTCTAATTTTTTTTATTTGTTTTCAATTTAAACCATTTACTTATTTTTATTAAGTAAAACTGATGAAAAAAGTTTATATTTTAATCATTACACTCAATAGAAAATGGTATTTTAAACATTGTATGTACACCTATGTTGAGTATAATGACTAAAATACTATTTTTCTGTCAATTTTACTTGACGAAAATAGATGAATTGTTTAAATTGAAAATGAATAAAAAAAATTACTATAACATATAAAATAAAAAACAGAAACACATTTCGAAAACAAAAGCAAATAGATCGAAAAATACCTCTAAAGCAGCGTGTTCTCCATAGATATATAGCAGAGTACTAATATAGGAACAAGAACAACCACAATATCTATTGTAGCCCCCATGGTTATCCACTGTTCCTTCTTCATCGAATTACTTGGATTCTTCTTGGTCACCAATTAGGTGGATGCTTCAGGGCCATTTATATGAGAGGGTACGAGGGAAAATTATTTGGACGATATGTCATTAAGTGGAGAATATTAAAAAAAAAAAGAAAAAAAAGAAAAAAAAGAAAAAAAGTATCACTCCTTGTGCAAGCCATCGTAGAAATTATGATAACAGGAACATTCCATTGAATTTAAGGTCAACTAAAGAATAATAACTCGTAGATTAGGTTTATTTACACTTTGCATCTTTGTATTTTCACAAATTTTATTGTGACTCCTCCATTATTAATTGTGACAATTAATACTTTGCGAAAGATTATGGTACAGACCCTTTAAAATGTGTGTATTATATGTACATTATAACTAAAGAAAAAAAATGACATAATTTCATACTTTTTGAATCATAAATAAAACATAAAATATTTAAAAAATCATAACCGAATAACACATGAGGTATAATCAAAGATCTTATGAGTCATAACTAAAATAAAATTATGGGTAAATTATAGTTTGCCCCTGTATGTTTAGCCACTTTCTCATTTTGATCTTTAAAGTTTATTTTTTCTTACTTTGGCATTTCATGTTTCAAGCTTTTCTCAATTTACTCCTAAAATTAATTTATATTCAAAATTAAATAGAAAATACCACGATAACTGTCGCATAAAAAATATATGTATTATTTTATTAGAGTTTGAGTTTGTATAAATGTGTGAATTATATATAATAAAATATTTTTATGTCACGTGATTGTCAATGTATCATTTTCTGTCTACTTTTTAACAGAAGTTAGCTTTGAGAGTAAACTGAGAAAAACTTGAAACATGAAAGGTCAAAATGAGAAAAAATAAACTTTATGGGCCAAAATAAGAAAGGGGCCAAACATAAAGAGAGAAAGTGTAATTTACCTTAAGATCATAGTTAAAGAAGAAAATGACATAATTTAGGGTTGCATATGGTAAAGAATGTGTATAGTAGAATTTTTCTAATTTATTTATACTTTAAGTTAAGTTATAATGTTAATTTTTTTTATTTATTTGGAGGTAATAAGGTTGCTGAATTTATCATGTAACATGTACATAATATTTTTCTTACCTCATTATTGTTTTTATATTTTTATTAAAATCTCACTTCAACCCTTAAACTTTTAAACTTTTAAACTTTATGTTTATTTAGAATTAATATGGCTGTTGTATCATGTAAGATGTATATGATATTTTTCTCCCCTCATATTTTTATATGTTTATTAAAATTTGCCTTTAATTCTTAGACTTTTAAAAAATTCTGTCCAAATCTGTCCACCACCAATAAAAGCACATGCAAGACCTTTCAAAGCTCAATTTATTATATTACTATTAGAAAAGTCGTGCAGTCACTGTGGACCCTAAATACCAAAAAGAGAGCTGCTACGTAACTTGAATGGTTTGAATTCAAAATGTTTTTTTTTTTTTTCTTCCTTCCTTTTGTTCATCTCTTTTTCTCCCTCTGTTCACAATCACCAAACTGAAATCAAAATAATTTTTTTTTTCTTTCTTCCAGCCGGCATCATCATCATCATCAACACATCATCTGTTCTTGCTCTGTTTTTTTTTTCTTTTCTTCTTCCATAACTCATAATAGAGAAAGAGAGAGAGAGAGAGAAAGAGAAAGAGATACACAGAGAGATACACAGATCTATACAAATCTGTGTATACACACAGAAGATGGCGGTACTAGTGATGGTGCCCGTGATGGTGGCGCCAGTGATGGGTGCTCTTTCTCTTCTCCCTCCTTCTCTCTTTCTCTCTCTTCTCTCTATTTCTATTTCTCTTTCTCTTCTTCTCTCTTTGTTCCTTCATCTGTTTCAGAGATATAAGAGGGAAAGAAAGAGGGAGAAAAAAAAAACTGTCCAAAACGACATCGTTTTGGGCAATCGAGCCATTCAGAGCAAAATAATTTCAAGCTACGAAGGATAATTCTACGACAAATTTACAACTCTACTATGTTTGAATAATCGAAAATTTTATACTACACACATTTTTTTAGTTTGCATTTAGTTATTATTTTTGTGGTATTTGATTATAATATATTAGAGTGTTAATTATAAATTGATTATCACTTATTGTTATATTCATTATGACTCGTTGTCATTAGGGGTTGTCAAATGGTCTACGAACAAAAAAAATCTAGTATTACCCAACCTATTCCATGACCCATCCCAGCCCGCTTGACTACCTAGGTCGTCCGATCTCATAGAAGATGATTTAGGATTTTGGACAAAGGTTTGAAACCCAAACCGTCCATGAACTTAGCCTGCATGGATAAATCTAGCCCGACCATCCCATCAGTCTCAAACTGTCTCATTCAAAAATAAAATTAATATTTTCGAAAAAAATAACACTATTAAATTCAATTTTAATCTATTAAAATTAATACTGTTCCATTTAAAAATAAATAAAAATTGACAGTCCATATTATCCACGTAAAGTGTACTTTAAAAACAACAATACACAAAATACAATTTGTGAAAATTGAATTTGATAGTGACCAATGATATCTTCCTAAATCTCAACTTTTTACATATATTATTGTCATAATTCATTAATTTAGTGAATTTTTACTTTAATTTGATTGTTTTAATAGTATTAATTAATTTGATCATTTGAATTATTAAAAAAAAATAGTAAATGTGTAGAACTTAATAATATAACCTAATGAAAATTGTGTAACCCGGTTTAGTTTGATTTTAGCTCGTAAAATTTGAGCTTACGGGTGGGTCGTGGTTCTAATTTTTTTAAATAAATTCGGCCCATACCGTTCGTTGATTGGTCAAAACCCGAAAAACCCATTAATATATAGGATGTAGACACAATAGTTACGGGCCAGGTAAGCCTGACCCGTCCTATTGATAACCCCTAGTTGTTATGTTGGTTATGACCTATTGTAATTATTATTTTGTTTATAATCAAAACATTATTATTTGATTATATTTTATGTAGTATTTAGTTATGACTCATTATGTGTTTTTTTTAATTATAAGTGAAAGTGATTTATTTATGACATTTGGGATAATCACATCACAAATGTCCTAACTTTCCTATAGTAAACCTACTTTGAAGATTGTGTATTCTAGAATGATCCATCAAGGATAGAAATATTGAAGCATAATAGGAATTCGATTACAACTAAAGAAATTCCTTGTAATAAATCTTTTGTATCATTCCTATTCAACCTTTTAGTTTTGTTAGAAATTCTCAACAGAAAAACAATAAAATTTTAAATATTATTGATAATGAATTTTTGTTTTACTATTAAATGGTTTACATTCTTCCAGGAATGTGAGATTCCTACATGGAAGTGGAGAAACCGGATACCTATTTTGTTTTTGTTTTTTAATTTTATTTTGTCAATCGATAGGAGAATAATTAGAAATATTAAAAAATATTTATATCATCAAACAAACTACTAACTCACAATAGGTAAAAGTCAACAAAACCTAACACAACCAAAATATCAAGCCTGCCAAGTCCAAGCCGAAGCTCAAAAACGACATAAATAATTAAGAGTCCTTTCTGCCACTGCCTATAGGGCTAAAAATAAGCTGAGTCAAACTGGGTAATAGATTGTTCAAGCTGGTTTGATAACTTAACGAGCTTAAAAAATTGTTTAAGCTTGGCTTGTTTACATAACGATGAGTAGATTTCAAATGAGTTTTTAACAAGCCAAACACAAGTCGATCTCGAATGTCTTGATTTTTTTATAGTGCATTAAGCTGAAAAGTAGGTGGTTCATGATTTGTTTAAAAACTTAACGACTTTAAAATTGTATTCAAACTGGACTTGTTTACATAAGAAATCGATCTCAAATGATTTTTTAACAAGCCGAACAAAAGTTAAGTCCGAGTAGCTTAGTTCGTTTAACACCTCTATTGTTGCCTACAATCACCTCATTTTCCCGTCTGCTTCTTCTCTTCTTTTCTTCTTCTTCTTCTCCTTACTCTTCTTCTTTTCTTCTTCCTCCTCCTCCTCCTCTCCAAACCCTAGAATTGAAAACCCTAAACTTACAACATAGTTGCTAACGCACTCCCAGCACATTCCCTTATTTCCATGTGTAACCATTTAAGAAAATGTTTTTATTTAGCCTCTTACATTTATATTTCATTTACTTAAGTTTACCTGTAAATAAGGAAATACCCCCCATTTGGATTCTAAAAAAAAAAAAAATCAAAATCTAATTAAATCAAAAAGTGACTCCCCTAGTTTTAGTACAAAAATAATTTTTCGACTGAAATTTCTAAGTTAGATGTTGAAGTAAAGTGATTAATACCTAGTAAAAAACCCCATAAAATCAAATTAGACTATTTAATCTATAAGGAATAATTACAGCCAAAAATTATTTTCAAATTCGTAAGTTTTGAAAAATCTGATTTTTACACTTAGAAAATTTTCAGACTAAGTCCAATTTTTAACAGAAAACTTGGATCTCGACCCGAACCGTTACATTCTCCCCCTCTTAGAAAATTTCGTCCCCGAAATTAAAGATGTACCCAACTTGGATGGAGAAAACAACAAAAGAACTGCACCTATAATCAAGGCCTAACTCCAAATCCCGAACCACCCTCTCAGATTCCTAAACCAACACCATGGTACCTTCTTGACCCCGAGTGAATAGATCACAAATTAATGAATATGAGTCAATCCCGACTCACCGACTATGAGAAATGGGCAATTGGTCAAACAAAAACGGAATCCCCCACAATACACAACTTTAGGAACCCCAATTCTAATAAAGGTTACGATCACCCCCACGAACCAAATAGCTTACCAAGATTCGCATAACTAAAACCCATCAGAAGAATGTCCACACTCGTAAGACACGTCACCCCCACTTCAACAGTATACTCCATATCTAATAAACATTGGACAAGTAACACCCTGGATTTCAAGAACAACAACGCACTACAATTTAGAAGCTCTCCTAAAAAATTAGTGTTCACCAAGGAATACCTGATTCAACAGCTTTAACAATGTTAACCCACCCAAAACAA